AAATTAAATATCATATTTAAAATACAGTTGTCTTCCTTGTACATGACTACAATACAACTAAAAAAACTAATTTAATAAAAAAAACAAGTCGTTGTAGAAAAACTTTAAATATTATTTTTTTTTATTTTTTAAATATTGAAACTCAAAGGTATAATAACAGGTATCATACCAACCATAAATAGAGTAGGTATGTCATATAAAAATGTTTTGAGTTTTTACTAGAATCGACCCTTGATAAAAAAAAGGGATTAGATTTAAGTTTACCTTTGATCCAGTCTGTATACTATTTCTTTGGATTTTCTGCACGTGTGCAAAAACTACACTAAAACACTATATCTTATAGAAAATAAAATATTGTGCCTTGAATTTGAGGGATTTCATCGGAAAAATTATTAATTTGGAAGAAAACAAGCGGCAAGGCAACAAGCGGCAGAGAATAATAATATTTCCGTGCAGTCTTCTGGTCGCAACGACCAACGGATGGCCAGGACGTTAGTGTGCGCTATATCATTTGATTTAGGGCTCAAACACACTGACGACCAGGTCGATTCTAGTAAAAATTCAAAACATTTTTATATGATATACCTACTCTATTTATGGTTGGTATGATACCTGTAACAACAGGTATCAAGCAGTTCGATGTTAAAAAATAAAAAAAATAATATTTAAAGTTTTTCTACAACCACTTGTTTTTTTTATTAAATTAGTTTTTTTAGTTGTATTGTAGTCATGTACAAGGAGGACAACTGTATTTTAAATATTATATTTAATTTAACGTTTTTCAAACAGGGTTCATTAGACTATATTTCTACTAGGTACACTATTTTGAAAAAAGAATTAAGAAAGTAACTTAAAAATTCATAAAAATAGAAGTAATTACTGTTGTAGATTCTTCGTTATATTGTAAACATTGAAATAACTGAAAGCTAAACTTTCTACCTGCTTATATTTAGAGCTAGTATCTGACGATCTTTTTTTACGATGGCCCTAATATGTTTACTTCTAAAGTCGATAAGGGCGCCATATCAGTAGAAAAAAGAAACAGAATATCTCCCTTTTTGTCGGTCGCGCGTACACAATGCTTTTTGTTTGTTGTGAATAGCAACTTCGCTTTTTAGTTAACTCGGATATTTTAACATTTCTGAAACAATATTTTCTAATTGGTAAAACGTAAAAAATCGTTAGATCTGACAACTCTGTTGACACTGGTTGTTCATCTGGCCGCAGCTAAAAACGCAATGCATCCGGCCAGCCGACGGCCAGGTAGTTGCGACCTGGTCGTCAATGAGTTTGAGCCCTTAGAGGTAGCTGCGGCCTGACCGGTGCGACCTGGTCGTCAGTGTGTTCGAGCTCTTAAAAAAGCAAGATCCTTGGCGCCCAGCGCGGAGTAGCTCCGCCTTGACGCAGCCAGGACAGTGCTTCTCGGCAGTCCATCACAGTTTTCGATCTCACTCATTGCATGGTGATGCTTCTTAAAGTGCCCAAGCTGTCAGAGTATATCACGATATCTCCTATTTGTCTATTAGCGACTTTCTCTTGTATATAACTCACAGCTTTCTTGATAGCGTAGAACATTACATATGTAATCTCAGCTAGTAGAACATTATAGCCATCCGATAAGCCTTTTATCCAAAATCATGTTTGGTGAGCATACAGTCTGTTTTCTGGTATAGCAGATGTGGACTCGTGTTATTTTCCCTATCTCTGGCAATATCCTCGAGTTCGTAGATGGTCTGCTTCCACAGATTGGATTCCCTTAATCTTAGGGCACCCTTAACAGCTAGATCCCGAGGCAGTCGATTGATTGCAAGTTCAGAATTACTTCTAGCGCAGCTTGCCCTGTGTTGTTCCTTACTCCAGTTGTTAGACAGCGCTGCTAATCGCTATACTTTTGTGAGGCTTTTTCTAGTAGAAAAAGGGTGAGTCTTAAGTAAGTGCAAATATTTTTAGGGGTAGAATATTTCGACCCCAGAAACACGATTATGAGTTTTTTTCAAGAATTTTTTTAGTATTGAAAATACTTCTGGCCGCGTTTATATGGCACCCGTCTTTGAAAAAACGACATGCTAGAGGCGACATGGTACGATGCGAGTTCAAGAACCTGCCTAATCAACTTGTCAATACTTAAGTCAATAGTTTAGCCGGCGTTGATCATCGAATAGAGCAAGGACGTTCGAGGGCCGAAATGAGGTCTTATCAGTGTGGGCCAACAATTTTATGGAGATGGATGTTTAGGGGCCGGCGGATAAAGAAAGCCGATGTTATTATAAAATGTATATTATATTATTGTAAAATGTAGTTAATAAATATATTAACTACATTTTACAGTTTTTTTTATTATTATTTATTTAAATAATAATTTAAAATTATATATGCGTCAAGGCATGGGTTGTTAGGGACAGTTGGGCTATTTTAATCTAACTCTTTCCGTATGAGAAGCAAAGGGCAAACTATACGTGAAAGAGCGGAATAACATAAATAATAAATTTAGACTAATGCAATATTTTTTCTTGGCGCGTAGGATAATGCGCACAATCGATGCATTAAAGGGAATAATTAATTAAATCATTAAGTTCCAAAACATATAATAACTCCGGTCTCATCGGATCTGCTGATACATTTTGATAAAATCCTTGTATACCTATATATTTTTAAAACAAGGATAAAATTTAGGCTATTAGGACCAATATTTTTTTATATGATTATTATTTTTTTAATTAACAACTTAGGACAAAGAAAAAGCTTGCATGGTTTTCACCGCCAACAGGCGTAAAAACAAATTAATCCAAGACGGTGCCAAATATTTATTGGGATAAGTTTTTATCGTTTGAATATTGTTTTAAATAATAATTATCATTTAATTAGTGCTAACTCATTTAATTAGTGCTAACTTATCATTTAATTAGTGCTATCAAAGTTCACAACACGGCAAAATTTCAACAAAATCGGCGAACGGATCTTTGAGATATTAATAAAAAAGGTCTATTAGAAAACACCTTGACACCCCTGTATCTTTAAAATTATACATTTCCGGTTAGGTTGTCACCTCCTGAAGTTTGGCCAGATGCTTAATTAACACCCTGTATTTAAAAATTGCTAGCTAGTGATTTAGTAAGCTATGTTTATTTTAATAGGAAAAAAAGACATTTCATAAAAAATAAACAAATCCATAATACAAATAGGTAGTATACACCAATTAATTAATTTTAAATGTATCTAAATAGGCACTTTAATCATTGAAAAATGGACAGGAGCACTTAAATTCACTTCATAGAGTATACCAAATATGCTAAAAATAATAATTCCAATAAAAAAACACAAATGGCACATTAAAATCTGCATTATCTGAAATCAAACTATAGCTAAACGGCTAATAAAATAATAAAGAGAAGACGCCGACATCTATTATAACGCCATGAACAGTTTTTAATCATTATTACGAGTTATTATTATATACTTGTTTTACAATTTATTGTAATACAGTAGCATTCCTTCAAATAAATTTTGATTTAAATATTGTTAATATAGTCATATTAATGATTATAGCCCGTATGATTTCTAAAATAAATAATCAAGCGTGTTTTTATCAGAATTATTAAATGATTAAGTGGAAATAGTTAATATTTAGTAACTTCGTCAGTGTTATATTTTAATATAATCATGGATTTAATAATTAAATAAGTTTAAATTGCGGTAAATTTGTATGAGTTTCAATCATTTATATTTAAAATCTTAGGGAAGACAATATAGATTTTAGGCAGGAGAACTCAAGGGAAGGACTGTGTAATTAGTAATTAAGACTTTACATTTTTTTTTACTTGCCATTTTTCTTGTCGTTCACGTTGCACGTTGACTCTTCGTTGTGTCCCACACAATCTGAATTTCGGATATGATGCAGAACTGATAAATTGGACCAAATATATTAATTGCAAGGTATTCAAAGAAATATTTTTGTTAACTTTGCAAACGTTTAAGGCATGCAATAATTTTAAAAAATTTTGACGTGAGATTACTTTATAATTCTTGGAAGTCTTGGATGATAAAGATTTGAATTATTATGGGTCTGTTTTGTTTAAGAAGCTAACAAATAATTTCAAAAACTCAACTATCAAAATATAATGGTAGCAAATTTTTAAAATCATGCATAGGTATAATGTTCTATATTAATTGGACATACTGAATGTAAACTAGGTATAGTTGCTGCAATCGATAATATATTTTGTTGCTTTTTCATATCACGCAAAATTTTTATCATAACAAAAAACCGTCAATACCGCTACTCATATTATGGGCACCTATGTATACTTAAATCTCATAATGATGTTTAAAAATACATAGGTATACATACTATGAGTAGTGGTTGTGACGGTTTTTTATTAGGTATGACGAAAAGAAGTTGCAAACTAAATTATCGTGGAACTATATTTTAATTTTCTTTTATCTACAGTAACTATTACTTATTTTTTGTACGGCGATTTTAAATTTGGAGTTTTTTTTTTTTGGATTTTTTTAGTTTTTAGTTAAAAAACATATTTCTTTTAATATACAAGAAAGAAAAGCCAGAAAAAATCCAGTGGTTAAAGAATATTTTAATACCCTAAAAATCTCGTCTCACATCAAAATTCGACCTGTCCCAAAAGCTATATGCTATATGTCCGCTATTTAGTTCAGAATCGAACGAATAAAGCGCTCGGCGTTGCTTTATTTTGTGTGTATTTTCTTGAATAGTGCACACACACTTTTTTTGCGATAGGTACCTAGTTCTGAAGATTTCATTTTTTTTTAAATAAATCGGAAACTAATCAAGATATCGGGATTTTCTTATGTTCTTTACAGGCGTTTATCAAACTTCTAATAACGCAACTTTTGTCTTATTTAACCGAATTCGTATCTTTTGTAGTTTTCGAAATACCAATTTTGAGCATCGAAATTTTTATCACCCTCTAATATATTATATTACTTATAATTATTTTCAATTTATAAAACATATATTGTTTTAGATCGCCTTCGGATCGCCGCAGTATTTATTCCAGTCCGGACATAAATCTGGAAAGCGATGAAAACGAAAAAGCAAAATTCACTCTGAAAGAGTTCTTGGAATATTTCTCCAGGAAACATACCAAAACGCCAGTAGTGTATGATAGCGTGGATGTTCTACCTCACACTTTAGATAAGCTAGCTGATGATGAAGGGAAGCGAGTGAATGATGAGGACAAGTCTAAAAGTTGGTCCCTGATGGATATTCAAAAGCACAAACACCCGTTTGAAGACAAAAAAGGGTAAATTATTTTCATTTAACTTTTATTCCATATAATAACTAAGTATATTGTTAATCTAATGATAAGAAACATTTTATATGCCTGTTTTTATAAATATGATTGTTAATTGATACACCCTGTTCTATCAACGTCTCTTTTTCGTGTATTTATGCGGTTTCATATTTATGATATAATGATGTGGTTGTCACATCTTAATAGAAGATTATTTTCTTTTATCTATGGTCACATCACTGTACTACTTTTTTATAAGACTAAAGATGTTTTTCAGAAAAACGGAGTCCCGTAGAGAAAAAAAATATGTAAAAACCAATGGCGTAACTAATTTTTCGTTGGTAGATGGACGAAGAGAAAAAAGAACATATACGTAAAAATTAAAAATAAATTAAAAAATAATCATACAGAAAGTTTGAAGCTTTTTGGTTTTGCCTTATTAAGTAATTGTTAAGGTACGCGCACACTGACCAGCGCCGCACTCGCCGCACTAATCACACTTTTTTTTCTTGTCGCGCACACTAACCCATACCGAACGCGCCGCACGCGCCGCGCGCCGCATTGTTTGCTATTTAGTTTCTTTTTGCCCCTACTACACCAGTATTTGTCAATCGAATTTTTCATCATTCGCGAGTCCTGTCTGCGGTGATAAGCGTATTTTTTAATATTTCTCGACAATGAATGACAACGAACAAGAAATAATTATGAGCTCCTTGCTAATAGAAGAAGAAGAAATCACGAGAAAGAATCGAAAGTGATAGGTTCACAATATTTGCAAAAATCCACATTATTTTCATATTTAATTGAAAATGAACTAAACATTTTTCAATATTTCCATATGAGCCATGAAAAATTTGCGAACTTTCTTAGCATATTGAATTTCTAATCTCCTCTTCGGTTACCTACGTAGAGTGGAAGGAATTGAGTGTGACGTCAGCAGCACTAGCCGAACTTACCGAAAATCATTCTGGTCCAACAATGCTGGCCGCACTTTTGATGCGATTCTTGCGGCTCTGGCTAGTACTCTCGCACCTTCATTGAAAGTAATACAAACAATATTTTTCTTCGGTCGATGCGGCGCGTGCGGCTCTGGTCAGTGTGCGCTTACCTTTATCAGGTAGTAATTATTAATTTTGAAGTTTAACTGGATATAATGTCATTTTAACAGAACGCCAACGGTATTTATAGACGTATCTGTTTTAAAAAAAACTAAAGTGTTTTCGAATAGTTTTTAGATATTTTAAATAGCTTTTTCTTTGTTCTTTGTTTTTATTGTGTGCGGACAACCGACGTCGGGAAGAAATAATACTTCCCGAAGTATTTTTTGTCCGTTAGGCAAATTTGCTTATTAATAAACCACTGCTGACAATTAGTTTCTGTTGGATTAAAGCTTGATTTTTATCATGTAATAATATTATCATATAATGATCCGTTATCCAACGATACGATGATACTATCAGAGCTACAAGCTCACAGAAAACTTAAGTCTTTTTTCGATTTAAATCATTTTAATGACTTAAGTCATTTGATTTTAAGTCATTTTTCGAAATCTGACTTAGACTTAAAATTTAAGTCTTTGTGAAAATGATTTGTGATTTAAATCTTTATTCCGAAATAGAAAAAGATTTAAGTCTTTTTAGAAAAGATTTAAGTCTTTTTATATAAAAGTCGTTTTTTATATATTTTTATGATACATTTTTGACAGCAGCATTTCTTTTTAAACTTTTAGGCGGCAGAATAAAAAAAGAAATGCTCAGTAACACTAGTAAATAAAGTGTTAGTTTTTCGGAACCTGTTTTGATTATTTGTCGTGTTACGCATGCGTAGTGAGTCTGTTGTCTTTCAAGTGAATCCCCGACTCCATGATGTAGCCTGGAAGACAATCGAATGAAATTTATCTCGAATATATTGAAGAATTACATAGTGATCAAAACACATCACCATTTTTTAATAGTCTGTCTGTAGTTGTTCTGAAAATTAACCGTTTTATTTTATATGATTTTGGTCTCATCTGTATCTATAATAAATTAATAGTATGATACTTGGTAAGAAAATCGCTAATTGGTAATAAGAGAAAATTTATATTAACATTTAAAAAATACTTAAATTGAATTCTAGTTGTCTTCACTTGAGGGTAATTGTTTTAATTTAAGTCATTTTACTTACTTAACTTGCAGGTTATCATGATTTAAGTCAAAAATATAGATTTAAGTCATAAAACGACTTAAATAACGTTATATTGATTTAAATCTTTACAAAAATAACTTCACTTGAACTAAAATGACTTAAGTCGAAGACTTAAGACTTAAATTATTTGAACTTTATGTTGAATTTGACTTAAGACTTAATTCATTTTGATTTTCGAAATGACTTAAATTGACTAAAATGACTTAAGAGTTGTCTTTTTAAAACTGACTTGTTGCAGCTTTGGATAACGATATTAATTTTATTGGTTGAATTTAAAGACTTCGGTTGGTTAGTTTAGTCTAATCTCTAGCCGTGTTTCCGTTCATCGGATATACGATTTACTTGTGATTGGTGTCATTTTATATTTTCATTTCCATAAAGATTTCGCTGTTTTACTTATAGTCTAAGAGCTAGCAACGTTTTCGAGAGAGAATTTTAAAAAAGCTGGTTCTTTAATATATCTTTAGCTCTTCTGAACAGAGTGCTGAACGTCTGGCTGCCCGTACACGTGGAATTGGCCCGTAGAATTCGCCCTGTATTTCAGGAACTAAGGAGGCTAGGACAAACATATGTGTAGCATATTTAGATTAAAAAAACGTAGCAAAGTAATGTGAAAATCGCATCATTGTATCTCTACGCATAAACGAGGAATCACATAAAACACACGAAAAAGGGATACCCTGTATAGATGAGATGTGCAGTAGTGAGCCGTAGTAGTCTACCGGCGGCCCGCACGTTGGTTAGGAGAGCATAGCAAGAGATATATTAAGGAATCAGCTTTCTTAAAATTCTCGTTTTCCCAACGTTGCTAGCTCTTGTACTATTATATTTTTATTAACGTTAGACTAAACTTCAAAACCTGAAACGTCAAATAAGTATCAAAACGTCCGTTATCGTACGGATCGTACGACCATTCTCTGTTGATGAGATGGAGTAAAAAAATTACGGATAAAATCAGAGCGCCGCGCCGCACGGTGGGGTATTAGCATGAAAAAGGTGATCGAAATTCGAAAAAGCAAAAGTGTTTAAGATTTCCCAAAAAAAGATAAATGATAAGTTAAATCATGTCTGCAATGAATGGCGTTGCTATGGGTGTGTTTAGTTGCATTCATTTATTTCAACGAAACGTCAAAGTTGTTACTTCTCACAGATAAGAGGAAAATGGCTAAATTTTATGTCTAAAATTATAAATTGTTTTTGTTCTTGGGCTCTTTTTACGTTTATATTATTGTTTTGATTGAAAATGGCTCAGCAAGCTGCAGGTATGTATTCTACAAAAACGTATTATTAATTTTGATATTCTCTATACTAACGATTTTTTTTTGCAACTAAATGTTGGGCGTTCAGAAAATATGATTAAATTTGTGACATTTTTATTATACTTAGAGATTTAGTTGCGCATTTCGAAGAATTCAGCATATTGTCTATATACGTTTTACTTAGTAAACATTGGATTTTCATACAGTAAAATAAAATACTGCGACTTTTTGCGACTTTGCTGATAAAATGAGAAAAAACATTCTTGGTTTGGCATTAGTAGCGACTTTAGTGATATGGGCATTGCTCGCGGATCAGTCGTAGCATTAGTAGTATTAGTTGCGATATTACTACTGGTATTAGTGGCATTGTCCGTGGAAACACTGGAACAGTGATTTTTCTTTCTTTTTTTAGAATCGACGAATTATTCTTTATTTTGTTCATATTATTTCCTCTTTAATTGAAATTAGCAATAATTTATATAAGGTCTACATAAAAAAAATTCGATCAACTATCTGTGTCAAATACCCCACTGTGCACCGCGCCGTTGGACCATCGTATTAACGGATAACGGACGCATGAAAATCAAGCTTAACGCAGCAGTGTTTACAAAAAATAACTATTCTATTTTGTAGATTTTCTTATAGTGGGCAATTACCCATAGAATTTTTTGGAGGCTTAGTTATTGTTTGTTTAAATTTTATTTGCCCTGTCTGCTTTTGTTTGCTTTCTAAAAATATAATATATTTATGTATACCTATTATATTTTTATTTTTATAAACAAGAAAAATCACTATAAAAACTTGGAAGAAAATTTTAATAAATCCAAAAAATGAAGGATTTAAACCCCTGTTGTTTGCAACGAAGCAGAATCGGACCTATGTTGATATAATAAAAAAATACATCTTATTTTTACGCGAGGAATCTGCCCACGAGATATGGAACATAATTTTTGAAACACCCTGTAAATTGTGCAGTAAAATATTCGAAGTGGGGTAGTTATTACCGTGTATTTAAATATGACATATCCAATAATATGACATATTCAAACAACGCGACTGGAATAGTCTCACCTACACAACACAATTAATATAATTTTTCTAGAGTAATTATTTTTCGAAAAAATCGATAATTATTGTGATATTTTCGCCCTATATAAAAATTAGTTTTGTAAGAAAATGTCAAATCGAAAAAGTTTATACATTTTATACGAAATGAACTTAACTTTATTTTTTAAAAATCAAGCACATCCTGTTGTTTTTGTTTTTTTATTCATTTACACTCTTTATATTAAAAAATATAGAATATAAAAATATATATAATAATGTTATTAATATTTTTAGCTGGGTGAGTTTAGAACCAATACCATGGTCCGTATCGAAAATATCCAAGTGGCAAAGTAAGTATAAACCTTCAAGCGAACGCCCCTGGGACGATTACGATTCAGGAACAAGCTCCAGACCTCATCTACATAATGATGATTTTAAACATAAACGGTAAAATATAAGTGTTTGTAACTATTTATTAGCTGTTTAGTAAATAGATATTTAAAATAAGTCTACTTATACTTATTCTTTGTAGAATGTAGAATGAATGAGAGGGGGTTAATCACCGCGACCTTACAGATTGACGAGTGACTGTGTTCCGCTTTATTGAGTTATAACGAGTTATAACTCATCATACAGTCTTAAGGCTTTGAAAAAAGCCAGTATCTCAGAAGGTTTTGCAGCGTTTAGTTCTCCATCTCCGATATCAGTCGTACCAAACTACATGGCACGAATGGTTGTAGTCTCGGTGCACTCAGTGATAAGGTGTTCTGGTGTTTTCCCATTTTCCCCACAGAATCTTCATTTGCCGTTGTTTCTTAGTTTCAATCTACTGAGGTGTTCGTTGAGGAGACAGTATCCTGTTAGAAGTCCCTATGACAATCCTAAGATTGTTTTTACTTAAACCAACAAAAATCTTTGATTTCTCTCGGTCGTCTTTCTATCTCGTCTTAGACCGTTGAAGGATTATGTATGGAGTCTTCCAGTTTCTTGAGTTTCGCTTTAAGTTGGTTTCCACTTGGAAAAAAGAACGGTTCTGATCCAGTTAGTGGAGTGTTCGCTCTTTTTCTAGCTAGATCGTTTGTTCGTTTATTTCCGTCTATCCCTTGGTGGGATGGTACCTAGAGTAGGAGGACTTTATTATCTTTTTCTAATTTGTTCAGCTTCTCTAAACATTCTTTGGAATTCGAATTGATGGTTACTCAGTTGATTGTTTTTAATGCAACTTGACTATCGAATAAGATGGTTGTTTCTTATTTCCGATAATTCCTATTTAAGATAAGTTGTACGCATCTTTCTATAGCGTAAATTTCTACCTCAAGGATGATGGGGTAGGTGTCCATTGGTTTGGAGTATATAGTTTTTTGCCTATCCATGTCCCTGTTCTGCTTTTAGAAGCATTAGTACGTTTTAATCCTTTCTATTGCTCAATACTAGAGTCGGCGTTTCCGAAAGTAGTAAATTCCTCATAGTTATTTCACTGGGAGTTAGAGGAGTGGGAGGTTGGGAGGTTGTTGCTTTGTACTTGCAGTACTGTTTTCGTAAATGACCATTCTAATTAATGCATGCATTTAATGCCTCTAAACGTAGAAGATTGTATGCATTGCTTAAAATTCATATAAGCTAAAGGAATCAATCTAACTAATAAATATATTAACTAATAAATATATTAAATATTTCTTTTTAGGCCTGTTTCTATTACACCACCAAGTCCTTATGTATACCATCCTCCTACAGAAACTTCTGACCGATTCGACAACTATTACGAAGACTCAGTAAAACCTGGATCGTATCTAACGTCACTAAATGTGTATTCTAGACCCACAGCAACTTACGGGCATAAAGTTCATGTCGAGACTCATTTCCCGTCTAGTCCTTACAGTAGCACAACGAGGCCATATTATCATAATGGTGAGTAAATAGTGTATAATAATTATAGTTTCATTAGTTTTTTTCGTGCGGATAAAATTAAAGTCTACAAGGTGATTCACGGCAATGGCACGTTAGATGTTTATGGAGAACCGGTGATAGGATTTTATTGAAAATTTATATTTGTGAATAAACGCACCTGCTCCATTTGTCGAAATTATTTTCAGCTTTACAGTGTATAATATTATATTTTTCGAAACTACTTTCACATAAAACTAAATAAAGCTTCATTCAGAACTTCGAAATTTGTGGAATAAATTACTGGCTTCAATTAGAGTGGAAGTTTGTTTCTCTAATTTTAATGTAAGCATTCAGAACGCCAAATTAGTGGTTCTAATTTTCAATTAGTAGAAAAAGTTAACAAACTTTTAACGTTTGCCACTAATTATACTTAAAAATTAGCGAGCAATGTCATTGCGGCCTTTGATTATTATCCCTAAAGGTAATCAAGAAGTATAAATCAAGGTATCTAAAAAATAATAACAAAAATAATTTTTGATTCTGAAAAAGATGAGTTGGTGGTGCACACGAATAAAAAAATGTTTAAAATTGTTTTAAATAATACAAAAGTGTTTCTAATAGGACCTAAGTCAATTCACTGAAATTTGATGTGAGCCTGATGTCCAGACCCAAAGACATAATAAATTGAAATTCTACCAGCCGCGACTGCTTGTAGTTGAAACTTGAACACTGCTTAAAATACCTGGTGCGTCTCAAAAGTGGCTAACCTCTATAATTCTTATTTTTCCAGATAAAAAAAAACGAGATTTGGAATGTTAGTAAGTTAGGATTGATTGACGTATTCAATTGTTTTCGGTCACTTTCTGTTTTACCGGAAATTACTACAACTTTTAATTTTTAAATGGCACCCTCGGTATTTTTTTTACTTTATTTGATAGAAAATGACACTCTGGATACAATGACATATCATATGTGAACTTTTGACATATTGGCTTAAAAAACCATCGTATTTTAAATTTCAATCTAGAGTGCCATGGCTGTTCTTAAAAAACAATTTTTAATCAAGGAATCTTGGAAAAATAAATTTGAACCTCTAATGCTTTTAGTGTCTTGTCCTGGCCGGTTAAAAGATGTGCAAATCGTATTTTTAATCATATCACACGAGGGGGCAACCGCGGCCAAAATTTTGTACACCATTGCCAAATTAATGCCAAAAATTGCCAAATAATGTCAAATAATAGTAACTATTGTCAAATAATGCAATCTATTTCGAAATAATGCCAACTACTGCCAATTAATTTCCGTAATTTCCATATTAATGCCAATGATGCCACTAATTCCTATGACAATGCCAAACCATACCGTGTAATTTCTGATGTAACAGTAGTAGTAGTAACAGTAGTGTGGTGTCCCTCAGGGTTCAGTACTTGGCCCTATTTTGTTTCTAGTGTTTATCAACGACATTGCAAATCTGGACATTAGCGGTAAAATCTGCCTCTTTGCGGACGATACTAGTTTCACTTGGAGCGGCCCAGATGTTGCGGCGCTATATGATACTATATCCAATGACTTACGCACCATTAAGTCTTGGTGCGATTCTAATCTCCTATGCCTCAACCTATCAAAAACTAAAGTTTTGTCATATAAAAGTACTATACAACCTTTTGTACTTAATAACACTACTATTGACGTCGTGGACTCTGTGAAATTCTTAGGACTTCTTGTAGACAACTCGTTAAAATGGGACTCTCACATTGAAGCTCTATCAAAGAAACTAAGCGCTGCCTGTTTTGCGCTAAGATCAGTTTCTAAGGAACTTAACTTCTCAACCTCTAGAATAGCCTATTATGCCCTTTTTGAGTCACATCTTCGTTATGCCCTTCCATTCTGGGGTACTTGCTGCGCAACAAAATTTGATTGTGTTTTCATACTTCAAAAGAGAGCAGTTCGATATTTATTGGGACTGAACAGTAGAACTCACTGCCAGAATTTCTTTAAAAATTTGAAAATACTGACTCTTCCTTCTTTATTCATTTTTGAATCCGTTTGCTTAATCCGCAAGCACATATCTGCTATTCCCGAAAGGCCATCTCATAACTATCCACTTAGGAATGCAGTGCACGATCTTTATCTGCCAACCCCGAGCTCAGAACTAGTTAAGGGTTCAATACTGTACAATGCCAAAAAAATGTACAATCATCTGCCTTTGAATATCAAATCGCTTTCATTCTTTCCCGCATTTCGCAAGGCTCTAAAATCATACCTACTGGAGAGAGCCCTATATGCGGTAAACGAATTTTTTGTTGATGTTTGATTATGAACAATTTTGAATTTTAAAATTTTGACCATCTCACACACTGGTCAAAGGTCAAGTATTTAATATTCTATCACTTTAAAATTATATCTATTTACTGCGTACTGTTCTAAAATTGTCCATGTATATTCTTTTTGTAATTTTAAAGACTTAAATTTTTTTGAATTGTATTATTTGTATTGTGTATTTTTTGTTGTTTGTATTTTTTTGTGATTTTGTTGTTTGTGAGTGCTTTGTCGATGAAGGTTTTCGCTTTTTGCACAATAAAGCGTTGTTTGTTTGTTTGTTTGTTTAGTCGCCATTTCGTTAGTTTTCTAGGTATGTACTTAAAATTGATATTTGCTTATAAGGTACTATGCATATTTTGATGTTTACATTAACTAATCACTTCCACCAATGAGAAAGTACTATATGATGAAAAAACGGTGTTAGCGATGGCTATGGAATAAAGATCGCTGTCATTTTATATGTAAAATTATATGGGGAATGTCAATAATGAACGTCAGCAACTTTCTTATTTTAAATGGGTGACTCCATTTTTTATTACATACTTAATTTGTAAAATTATATAAATACTGATGTTAAACACTCTATACCTAACATTAACCGTTTTTGACAAAAAAAGATTTAAAATTTTGTACGAAAAAAACTATCTGTCAAAAAAATTTGTATATATAGTCTAAAAGTCAAATTAAGTGACTACCACAGCCACTGTGACATAAAGAGAAGACATATGGCTATCTATTTCAAAAATTAAATTTTTCAAATGTCATATAATAATGGCGGTAGCTGTCATAGAATTGAGCGATTAAAAATTTATCATAAATCATTTTTTTCAAACGGAAACTACTTCTTTTCAAATGGAAACTTTCTACTTCTACTTTTTTTATTTCACTAGTGAAAAGGATTTTCAATTTGTTACTTTTTAACAGTACCTACATGTTCCTATATCTAAAATAAATCGTTTTTAGGTTATTTAAGATTTAGTTTGAAAACGTACATTTTTCTTGATTTTATCTAGCTTACTTTGACATTATAAGTGTCAAACAGTCAGATAATTTATTTCCATCTGTCAGAAAACAAATTATTTGAACTTTCTATTTTATAAATACTGCTGCTTAAGAGTTTAGAAAGTGTATTTATAAAAATATATCTCGTATTTTCGCTCTTTAGTAATATCTTATAGTTCATATTATTAATAATATACCGTATGATCGAAAAAAAAAAACAGTGCAAAATTGGCCTGGAAATGATAATCGATAATCACATTATGACATGGCCTAATCTATTGATTTACATCAGTTGACGTTTACAGTCATAGGCTACTGGTTAAAATCAAGAAAAATATACGCTTTAAAACTAAATCTTAAATAACTTAAAAACGATTTATTTTAGGTATAAGAACACGTAAACGAATTGAAAAAAGTAACGAATTGAAAAGCCTTTTCACTAGTGAAATAAAAAATGTGGGTTTCCATTTGAAAAAAAATGATTTATGATAATTTTTTAATTGCTCAATTCCATGACAGCTGCAAGGCCATTATTATATGACATTCAAACAATTTAATTCTTGAAATAAATAGCCACATGTCTTCTCTTTATGGGACAGTGGCTGTGGTAATCACTAAATTTGACGTTTAGGCTATACACATAATTTTGACAGGCAGTTTTTTCGTCTAAAAATTTTAAATATTTTTTTTTCTCAAAAACGGTTAATGCTAGGTATAATGTTTAATACCAAAATTCATAAAATTTTGTATAGTATTTAAGTATGTAATAGAAATGGGGGCACCCATTTAAAATAAGAAAGTTGCTGTCAACTTCCGGTACTTCCGGAAGTGCCGCAATATTGAAAATATTTTTAATCGATAGATCTTGTTGTGAAACAAAGATGTGCAAAAAATCTCCGATCTAGATATTTTAGCTCTCTAGAAACTTCTAATGTACACTCTGCCAGGGACACCCTGTATACACACCTACTTATTACAACGACTTACCTTTACCAAAGTTTCTTTTACTCTTGCCTTAACTTTGATTATGTTTCACTTAATACTTATCTAATTAAAAAAACAATAACATCAGATTACATAAATCTGCAGTGCATGTAAATCACATTGAATAATGCGCCGTTGTCAGATTTTCATTATATTAAATTATAAGGGTGCACACGATTATTAATTTTATTTTTGACTAACCTTTCACCTTACACAAGTATATTTAATATATTATTATAGAATCTGTTAATTATATATTAGAATCTGTTTTTACAAACGAACTTATCTGAAAATTGATTTTTAAGGCAGCAAATATACTTAACTAATTTCAAACTAATGTCAACCTAATTCCAAACTAATGCCAAAATTAATGCCATAAAATACACACGAATAAATGGGACTAATGCCAAATATTGCCAATTAGTACCAAAACTAATGCCAAAAGTGCCATAGTACTGCCAATACTAATGCCTAAAATACACGTAAATATGTAAAAGTAATGCCAAATATTGCCAGTATTGCTACTAGTACCACGGATTTGTACACCATATTGCCATCGCTTTTGCCTCGATATCATATTTTTTTCAAATGGAACGAGGATAGCTTATTAGTATATTTTGAAAAAGCACTGTTTTACGAATAATTTGGTACCACACACTTGGTATTTCGAGTCAAATTGTCGTTATGAACCGTGTCTTACAATCTCAATAAACCATAAATATGGGAAAATGTCAATAGTTGACATATGATATGTCATTCTATTTAGAGCGTCATTTTCTATCGAATAAAGTAAAAAAATACCGAGGGTGCCATTTAAAAATTAAAATTTGTACTCATTTCAGGTGAAACAAGAACTAAGGAAAATAATTGAATACGTCAATCAATCCTAATTTATGTCATATACTAACATACCAAACCCTGCTTTTTATCAGAAAAAAATATAGAAGTTATAGGGGTGAGCCACTTTTGAGAGGCACCCGGTATATGCTGATATATTCTAAATTTAAAAAATCAGATTAGTATCTAAATCAGATTCTAAAAACTTAGCATAAACGGATTATGTACAAAAATCAATATACGTTTGTTTTAGACAAAGATTGCAGACATCCAAACCATCCATATGACGACATAATAACTGACGGTATGCCCTCGAACTTTCCCCAGTCATCTTCTTATGAGGCTATGAGACGCAAAGGATCCGAAATGGAAATTCATCCTGAAACTCATCCTTTCGCCGGTGACGGTGACTGGATACTTTTGTCAACAACTAAAGGATACAAACCTCCAAGAAGCGGTAGACAGAGGTCTCTCAATTTGGGGACGACCAGTGAATCATCTCAGGCCTTAACTACTACTAAGTAAGTAAAATAAATTTACTCATAGTTTTCTTTTCACATTACTGCGCTACACTTTTATGAAACTAAAAATGCTACACAGAGATTTGTCCTAGCCCTCATAGTTTCTGAAATACAGGCCGAATTTAAAATTTTAGCATTTTTTGGCAACTTATCAAAAGGGCAAACTGTGTCTCATAGAGTTTTTCACATAGAATTTAGTGGTTTAACTAGTTTTGGCTGGGAGCTGTCATTCTTAAAATATAACTCAATTAAAAGTATACTGATATCTTGTTTTATTTTGGGAGCTACTAATAAATCCGGAGTTTAACCATAGTTTTTTTATTGCAAAGAATTAATCTTCATACAATTTTATGACACCCGTATTTTTTATTTTACTTCAATTTCATCCCATTTAAAAAAAAAAAATAATCAATATTAAGAATTTCGAATTTACACTTTTGCAATCTCTGACGTCACCTCTCAAAAGTGTCACGGTTTGTCACCAGGTACAAAGGTAAATAAAAGCCATTTTTCTAAATGTATTTTAAAGTAGATATAAAATTAATTGTAAAATAAAACTTAAGGAACCTACGTTAACTTAAAATGATCTTCACAGCAAAATCTCGTACTTTCGCTGATATATTGTTGTCTTGCCGCTTCAAACCAGGCTCTTCGACGGCTTTCATCCAAAGAAACAGTTATAAAAACCTTTTCTGGAGAGCCTTCAGAGTTATTTAGACAGCCCTTCACAAAACAAACTTTAACACCCTTCATTACATAAATAATAAAGAGTGTACAATAAAACAAAATTGAAAACTCAAAGTATTTAACACCAAACGCAAAATCCACAAAATACAAATCTAACCTCGAATCCTCGAACGCCTCGAACGCGAACATCCGAACAACTTTGGTAGTGTTTAGTGCCTCGATAAAAATGGCAGTAACCTGTTAATTATAAAAATTTAATATTTAATTTCTAGTAGTAAAAAATATAAAAGTAAATTTAATATAGGGGTAATAAAGAAGAATCCCACATAAAAACGTATTTTTTAACGATCTTAATAAAAACAGAAAAATCTAACGTGATTTTAATATATATGGTGTAAATACGGTAGCAGAGAACTAGACACGCCATAATATTATCCTTCAGAGGCTCACGCCCTCTGTCAACTATTCAGTCAAACGCTGATAGGTGACGTCACAATTTTCTACGCGTCATTTCAAACCAGTGAAATTAGCATTGAATTTGATTTATTATTTATTCCTTAACTTCCTTGTAACTTCGTTGCATTTCTTTTTGTATTGAGGGAGTACTTTTTAATCACTTCAATTGATTTTTATATTAAAAGTAACAAAAATTTACCATGGTTAAATACCGGATTCATTATATGTCAGGAAAACTTAACTCTCTAACTATCTGTAAGTATTGGAAGTGATAGTACCGAAACTTTTAGATATTCATTTAGATAATTTACTTAAAATATACTTTCAGCAAGATGGGGGTCCCCCTCACAACTTATATTATAATTTTGTTGAATGACCATTTCCCAAAAAATCAATGAATTTGGACCAATGCTGCAATGGACCCATTCGATAGCTTCCCTGATCCGCGTGTTTGTCCGTTCTCGATTACTGTATTTAGGGATTTTTAAAATATGAAATATATCGTGGCAACTACAACAATGGTCGAAGACCTGGAAAATGCTATTAAGCAAGCTTTTAGATATCTGCAAACCCATCCCATTATAATAAATCCCGTTATAAAAAAAGAAGAAAAACATATCCAGAAATTCAGTGTAAAAGTAAAATATTTCAGTCACAAATAAAATTTTAATATGTGTATGACTATTTTAGTAAATACCATTTTAATTTCTTTGTTAAAAAAACAGTAAAAAGAGAAAATATATATAGAATGGTATGTATTTTTGTGAAGCTCATAGCAAACCGGATCATAAAGGTGGGTATTCACTTGCAACAAAACACTCGGAACGAACGAAACGCGCCGCGCACTCCAAACAATCTGCAACAAAACATTTTCCGGGCGCGCTCTGAACGACCTGCAACAAAACATTTTGCGCGGAGCAGTCTGCCTGTTTGCGGTGTTCGCTGCGTTCCCACCAGTAATCAGTAATCAGTGTTAGTGTCTGTGTCGACATGGATGCATCTGATATTACCATAGCAGCTGGTGGTTTTTAATTATAGAGGCATTAGCGGGTAACAAAAAAGAGAAAAAAGGAAAGAACGAAAAATGTGGGCAAGACGTCTCTTTTTGCGCCGTCAAAATATGGCCATCCTTAGTGACCTAGATTATATGCATATGAAAATTTTTACAAGGATGGCTGCAGAAGATTTTGAGAATCTAATATGCTTAGTAGGTCCTAGTTGCGGTGCACCCTATATTATTAGCAATTGCCACCCAAGCATCATGCTTCTTTACTTTGTTATATGTCCCATTTGTCGGGTCCCATAAAATAGGCTGCTTCTCAAACTCATCAATTAACTCTAAACACTTTTCTCTGTTCCACTCCATATATAGCTAGGCACAGTTTAAAATTTTAAAAACACGCATCACAAACACAACGAACGTTCAAAACTGCCGTATCCACTGAACACCGGCCAACGAACAAATTCTTTTGAGCAAATCTCGTTTACCGACAAGCTGCGGAAAATGTTTGGCACGTTCGGTTCGGTTCGGCGCAACGTACTGGCTACACAAATTTGTTACAGCGCGCTCGGCGCGTTTGGTTCGTTCGAAATGTTTTGTTGCAAGTGAATACCCACCTTAAGATTTATAAAAATAAACATATGTAACTAGTTCATATTTTCAAAAATATTTTTTCGTAGGAAAACTGACAATGTCACTGTATTCTACATAAAAAGTTCTACAATAAACAATTTTCACCTTCCTTCATATATAGAGATAACTTTCACAATAACAGAGATACGGGGGTTGTTCCAAATTGCAAAATTTTCAAAAAGACCCTGTAAATCAGAAACAATGAGGGCTATGAAAATTTTGTTGACTAACAGTCGGTAACCAAAATGTGTTTCTACTGTTTCATCTCATTTGATATCCAATTTGATCATTATATTATAATGTAAGTGTATATGTATTATATTTTAATATTTTATGGTAACTAAAAAGGTACATTAAAAATCTACACAAATTTATTTTCATTCAAATTCATCAGTTTTTTTTATTTTTTAACATGCCAATTTAACATGCTTGTGATTTATTAATTTACTAATACTTTACGGTTTGGGAAATTTAAATATTGAAGCACGACATTTTTAACGTGTTTCATTACAATATTATTTTCACATGCTATTATGAGAGTGTTTGATTCTATCCAACTTTGTTATTTATTATAAATGTGTATATACTGCTTTGTTATATTTCTTTTTAAATTAGCTTTTCATATACATTTTAGGGGAGTAAAATTAACAGTACTACCTCCGCTCAAAGGTTCCAAAGTGAATATGACCACATCACACGGAGGCCTTCTTCAAGTCGAATCTACATTTGATAGTGTTGAGCAAGCGAAACAAAAGTTTGACCAAAAACAGAATTCTATTAAAATAAAAACCAAGAAAAGAAGAAAGGTTGCGAAAAAGAAGATACCACAACTGCTCGATCAAAGTCAAACGACAATAGCGACAGTGCCAAGGGTGAATGCTGATCCTAGTGCAATAATGGCAGCAGTAGGTAATTATAATTATTATAGACAGGGTATCGCGACAATAAGTCAAACCTCTATAGATAGTATAATAAAAAAGTTGAGAATTTAGAATTCCAGAGTTTTAGAATATACAGAGTGTATCAGAAAAGTGTGTGTGGAAATGAGACCCTGTCTATAATATTAACAATATACCTTTTAGGAGTTTTTGAATACAGATACTTTATATTTTTTCCTCTTTTGTAAATGAAGCTCTAATGAATGCAAGCATTCACTAGTAAAATTTTGTTTCGAAATAAGTCATAAACCTTTTATTGGCATAGTGTTGTGAAATTTTACTAGTAATTGTGAACATCACTAATTTCCAATATTAACTGTTAAACCTGTGATACATTCCGGGGTTAGCTCTGGACTTCTGAAATGAAAACTTAAACATTTTTTTTATTATACAGAGAGCTGCAAAAAAAACGCAACGGAAAAAGATTTAGTCAAGTTTAAAATGTTATATGTTTTTTATTTTTAGCCGTATTTTCTTGATTTTTTTAGCAACCTCTATATTCAGTGGCGGACTAAGCCTGTCGGGGGCCCGGGCGGTGAAGCTAAATGTGGCCCCTGGTCTGTTTAGATAATGATATACTTTTAATGCACATTTTGTAAAAATTGAATGACGTATGTGTAATGGTTGACAAAATTCAAGTATTTATACAGGGTGTCCCAGGCTGAGCCTGCGTTAGAAGTTTCTAGAGAACTACAATATCTAGATGTCAGATTTTGTGTATATCATTGTTTCATAATGAGATCTATCGATTAAAAATATTTTCAATATTGCGGCACTTTCGGGAGTACCGGAAGTTGACAGCAACTTTCTTATTTTAAATGGGTGACCCCATTTTTTATTACATACTACTTAAATTATCTGTAAAATTTTATGAATTTTGATATTAAACACTCTACGAGTATACCTAACGTTAACCGTTTTTGAGAAAGAAAAAATTAAATTAAGAGTTAAAAAACTGCCTGTCAAAAATATGTATATAGCCTAAACGTCAAATTTAGTGATTGCCACAGCCACTGTCCCATAACGAGAAGACATGAATGTGGCTATCTATGTCAAAAATTAAATTGTCCAAATGTCATATAATAATGGCCGCAGCTGTCATAGAATTGAGAGATTAAGAAATTATCATAAATAATTTTTTTTCAAATGGAAATCCACTTTTTTTATTTCACTCGTAAAAAGGCTTTCATTACTTTCGTTTTTAAAATTTGTTACTTTTTGACTATACATGTTCCTGTACCTAAAATAAATCGTTTTTAAGTTACCTATTTAAGATTTAGCTTTAAAACGTATATTTTTCTTGATTTTAACCAGTAGCCTATGACAGTATATTATGGATCATCATTTCCAAGCTAACTTTGCGCTGTTTTTTTTTTCGATCGTACGGTATATTATTAGAATATCAACTATTACATATCACTAAAGAACAAAAATATTTATATAAATACACTTATTAAACTTTTAAGGAGGCAGCAGTAGATAGAATATAGGAAATTCAAATAATTCATTTTCTGACAGATGGAAATAAATTGTCTGACTGACACTTAATGTCAAAGGAAGCTAGATAAAATCAGGAAAAATATACGTTTTCAAATTAAATCTTAAATAACTTAAAAACGATTTATTTTAGGTATAGGAATATGTCTAGTTAAAACATAACGAATTGAACACCCTTTTCACTAGTGAAATAAAAAAAGTGGGTTTCCATTTGAAAAAAAAAATATTTATGATAATTTTTTAATCGCTCAATTCCATGACAGCTACCGACGTTATTATATGACATTTGAACAATTTAATTTTTGAAATAGATAGCCACATATCTTTTCTTTATGTCACAGGGGCTGTGATAATCACCAAATTTGACTTTTAGGCTGTACAAATTTTTTTGGCAGGTAGTTTGTGCCGTCCAAAAATTTTAAATATTTTTTTCTTAAAAATGCTTCCAGGGAAATACCGCGACAAAATATCGCGATTTTGTAAGTCCTCCAAGATCCGAGGGGCCCCTTCGCTGTCTCAGGCCCGTGGCCCTCGTTATACTAAAGACTTCACTGCTCATCATCAGTAATGAAGCTAGAATACAAGTTATGCTGTGCATTGGTTGTAATTTAAAATGTTTATTCAGTAAAAATAAATAATGAAACCATTGAAAAATAACTTAAAAGATAAAATAAATTAATTCAGTCTTAAAATATATAAAAAATAATAATTATTCGATATTTTAAATAAAGGAAATTACCCCTTAATTTAATTTCCTAAATAGAAAATGCCATTGACAATTACTGGGGCCTGATAATTGATAATTAAGTAAATATCTGCTTCCATTTTTACTGTTTATAGTTGGCGTATACGTATGGTTTGCATATACTCCACCTTCAAACTGCTTTATAACTACTGATACTAACTAACACATATATTGGCCTTGTTTGCCAGTTGAATAAAACATTACTTATTAAGATTCGGAGGCCCCCTAAAAGACGGGGCCCGGGGCGGACCGCCCCTTACGCCCCCCTCACCGTTAGTCCGCCACTGTCTATATTATTAATTTATCAACTTTAATTCGTAAACTCAGTTTATTATAACATTGTATTTGACTTATTATACAGGGTTAATCGAAGAGTCGTTTTTTACCTTATCTGTAAAACACCCTGTGCAATAACTTCGTGAGGAAATTTTACTAAAACATTATTTTTCGTTTAGAGCCATGTCTCCTGAATATTTTGTTTTTTGACTCATGAAAACACATGCGTTGTTTAATTTTTAAGAGGAAAATGAACTTGCCACAAACATTTTGCAAATTTTTTAATTATCGTAATTTTTTTATGTTATTCTTCCTAATGCGAGGTGGCTTTGATGACTAGTGTTGTGTACGATTAAATATGATTCTTAATGTCGAAGGTTGTGCAAAATTCTTTGATCTTGTTGAAGTATGACGAAGTAATGAATATTCTCTTGGTTCTTGAAGAATGGGAAAACTTAACACAATATATTTGCCGCCTCATTGACAGTACGGCGACATCTACAGTCAGTTATAGCAGCCGGGGGAGGCAATACAAAGTATTGAGTATTTTTGCAAGTTTTTTGTTTGTTTGTGCACCTAGTTATTACAGTTATATATTTTTTAATATCCTTCTCTTAGTATTACTAATATTTATTAAAACTAAGCCTGTATCGTTATTTTTAACGTTTCTCCATTTTTAATATAGAGTTCTAATGCGACACATAAAATATAGAACATTTCAAACTTGACGAAAAAATTTTCCGTTGCGTGTTTCCGTTTTTTTTTTTGGATCTCAGTGTAGATTTTATATATGCCCGACGCATAATTATTATTGTAGGACTTTGTGTATTTTAGTAGAGTAGTATAGTCTCAGTAGTCTCTTAGGAAGTACCTAGTACTCAGTAGTCACTTAGGAAGTTATATTCTCTGTCTTATTTTATTTAATATACCAGAGATTCTAGGTACTTAAAAATACTAAAAAATATTTGAAGCCAAAATTTGTTTGTAGTATCTTTTAAGCGTTGAATTTTTATATTTTTAGAATTAGCAATATTTGTTTAATATATCTATGTTATTTTTAATTCAAGGCGCTGGCATAATTCCCGCAACAATGGCTATGATGGTGCCCATTGCAATGAGTGGTAGCTAATTTTTTTTGCTGGATTTTTTTTAATGATAATATATTACTGTAAATTACATATTAATAATTTCAATATTTATCTTATAGATAAAGAAGTTCATATTATTTTTTTAATTTATATAAAATATTTATATAGTACGGATAGAATTTAAGACTGTTTGAAAATACTGTATTATGTACACATATACCTAGTTGTAAGTTTTGAAGTTGTGATACAAGCTGTATTATCTGAAAGGTAATAAGAAAACAATTAATGTAAATTTGAAAAAGATGAAGGAACAGTAAAGTGTTTCTGTGTATTAAAATTTCAGATAAATAATTACTAAAATATTTATTTTTATATGTTAATATAAATAAATATACTTAAATAAATAAATAAATAATGTCTTAACTTATTAATTGTTTAATTATTTATTTCCGTTGAATTGATGGGTTTACGTCTCATCATATCCTGTTTTTCTAGCCGTTCTCTGTAGTGCTCGTCTATTTTGGATTGAACTGCAGTAACGTAATGATGGACGTGATCAAGAATGTTATCTCTTACTCTTTCGACAAGATTTCTTGTCATATTTAGTTTAATATTTAAAATATCGAGAAACAGTTTAAAGAAAGACACATCGTTCGATGAACTGACATCAGATGGAGTTGTTGTTTCCGTGATATTTTCAGTAGTGGTCGAATGGCTAAAATTTGCAGTGCTATTATCAATGTTTTCTTCTGATGTTATCTCATTTTCTATGTTGCTTGGCACATTTGTTGATTGACTTGTTGATGTAGACAATAGAGGTGCCTCTGTTATAACTTTTTGTTTCGACTCCTCATTGTATTTTTTCAGCTTCTGAGCATAATATATCTTACTTTTCTTCAATGGCTCTTGTTTTAAAACAAAATCTTCCGTTTCGTTTGTGTTTTTTTCAGGTTTTATAACAGCCGATGATGCCAGAACAACAAGTAGACTGATTTGAAGAAATATCTGTAGACGTTTAGCCATTATATCTGCAAAGAAATTCATTAAATTATTTTCAAATATTAAATTGCAATTCAAATATTAAATTGCATATAAAAAACGTTTACACAATAGATTAGATATTTATTTTTTTTGGTTTTTAATTAATAGAATCTTTTAAAATATTGCAATAGCAACAAACTGAAGAAGTCACATGTCCATCCCATTACTGAAGATAAATGATGGCGGTAAGGTGGGTTACTGTATCGTGAAACATTCGATCTCTTAATCAAAATGCCATACTTCCTTTATGAGATACAGAGTGAAATTGAAAATATTCTTTTTTGACTTCTCTTGGTATGTCGGTTAACCTTCAACATATATCGAATAGCTAAAAGGTTCTTATATAGTTTTTTTACATAAAATAATTGGCCTAAAACATACGCAGTTACGTGCCGTACAGGGGGCACGGGGGGGGGGGTGGTAGAATTTTCATATATTTCTTTATAAACTTGTGACTGAGTTCAAGTAGAAGCAGTAGGAATAGTAAAGTAAGAAAAAAAAAAGAAACTAATTAAAACCGTTAATAAACAAGAAAGAAAAACAGGTGTAAACAAAAAATAAACCACAGAAAAAAAACTAAAAATCAAATCATCAAAGCTAAAAACCTAAAATAGTGCAAAAATAAGAATAGTGCGAGCGATTATTTTTACTTTTAGCGGTTGTTTGTTTCTAGCTGTTTTTTTATGAGAGACGCCACCCTGTGACAGAGTGACGCAATATTCCGTCGACATAGGATTACTATATACAGGGTGCTACAAATTCGAGGTACGAGCATTGGTATCTCGGAAACCGTAAGAGATACGAAGATGGTTAAATTGGGGCAAAGTTGTTCCTTGGGATGTTCACCAAGATGCCATCAAAAAAGTTTTAAAAATTTCAAGGATTGCTGAGTATTTTGGAAAAAACCGATTTTGTTGAAAATCAATTTTATTTTTTCCTGTCGTTACTTTTCATAGCCACTTTATTAGGGCTATCTGATAGTATTTATAAATTTTCAAATTAGCTAATAATTTGTGAGATACAAAGGCCAACTTATTTTTTTTAAATACGGACCTGCATTTTTTATATCAAGTTTGAAAGAACTCGGTCTTCTGAGTAAAATAATATGCCACACTTGATACTTTTCTTTTGTTTTTGGTACCTTAACAATAACAAAACTATTTAATTATTATTTCAAATAATTTCAAGTCCGACTCTGGTTTTTTAAATTATTTAATCTGATTATATTCATCGCAATAATATTGATCAGCGATAATTAAAATTGAATAAGGAAAATCGAGAAAAATTGAAGGGTATATCCAGGTCAACAATTTTTAGATATTATTTTTGACTTTTCTTATTATGAATTTGAAGTAATAATATGCATAATATTAAACGTAGTTATTATAAATAAATCAACTTCTACAAACAGGGGCGGATACAGGAATTTATTTTAGGGGGGGGGGGCAAATAAAAAATAATGTAGAATATGCTTTTTAGGTTGCCATTTTTAACCCAAAAGCCTAATATTTAACCCAATTTATGGATTTTAGGGGGGGCCTGGGCCCCATGGGCCCCCCCTCTGTATCCGCCACTGTCTACAAACTAGTTTATAATGCTCTACATGTTCGAAAGGGTTACAACCCTCCCTAATGCACAAATTTATTTTTCGTTCAATCTTATTTATAGCTCTTTGAACATATCTTCTTCTTATGGACGATTCTGGGAAAATTATTTGATTGTTTATATTATATTTATTTTATATCATTTTTTATTATTTTAGTGCATTTGATTTTCCGTATTTAATGTTTTACCCCAAGTCATTGTTAAGTTTGAAAGCTTATCAATATTGTAACGATGAATAGATTAAATATTAAAAAAAAACAGAGCCGGACTCGAAATTAGTTTAAATAAACTGTGTTCAAATGTACGAAACAAAAAAAAATATTAAGTGTGATATATCATTGTACTCATGAGACCGAGTTATTTCAAAACCTCAAATAAAAAATGCAGGTCCGTATTTAAAAAAAATAATTTGGCCTCTGTATCTCACAAATTATCAGCTAAATTGAAAATCTAAAAATACTATCATATAGCCCTAATAAAGTGGCTATGAGAATGTTCAGTTAGTTTTTTTTATTTTCTAAAAAGTAACGACAGGAGAAAATAAAATTGATTTTCAAAAAAATCCGTTTTTTTCCAAAAAACTCAGCAATCCTTGAAATGTTTAAAACTTTTTTGATGGCGTCTTGGTGAACATCCCAAAGAGCAACTTCGCCACAATTTAACCATCTTCGTATCTATTACGGTTTCCGATATAGCAATGCTCGTACCTCGAATTTGAAGTTCATTGGACAAATTTACCTCTATACAAAACTGCTTGGTTTGTCAGTTAGAGGGCATCAAACTTTAAAAAAATAAACACATTTTTTGCAGATATTTTAAGAACCGTTATTCCGATTTGAGATCTTGGGTTTCTATGTTTTGCTAAGTGCTTTAACATTTGACTTTCACAAAAACCAAGAAAAACCCCTACAGAAGTTTTATTATAAATATTTTCCAACCCTATCGACAACCCTTCTTTTTGTAAAATCGTCCCTCTAGCATTCACTACATTTTTTGTCTCTTGTAAAAAATCGCCACAGTGCATACTTTTTGAGGAAAAACATATTTTTCCAAAGCTCACTTCCAAAAAATACTTTTTGTCACATTATTGTTAAATGCCGATCGATGACATTTCCCATTATAAATTTACATATAAAATGACAGCTGTCTTCATTTCATAGCCATTGCTGACGCCGTTTTTTTTCGATCATACGGTATAAAAATTTAGATGGCGAAAATATGGAATTCTATGTTAGTATCACAAATTAAATTTGACGGTAAGCTTCATAAAAAGCTTAAAAAAAGAATAATTTTTAAATTAATTAACGTTCGGGTTTTTTTTTATTGATGTCCCTCAATAACCCTGTAACGGACAAACGAAACACTGTTTTATAAAGGTAAATTTTGTCCAATGAACTTCTTTTGATTCCAAAAATACGTAGTAGTTCTATGTTCACGGAATATTGGGACACCCTGTATATTGATTATGTCCGCTAATATTTTGTGTTTTTTTTTATTTCAAAAATTATCAGCTATAATTTTACATATAAAATGACAAGGATCTTCACTTCATCACTAGCACCGTTTTTTTTTCGATCATAATTGTATCTCTGTGAATGTGCTGTTGTGCAGTATTCAAAAAATAAGAAAGAATATATATGTTATGAGATCTGGATCAGATTTCGGCGGTACCAGATCGGAAAATGGTTGGAAAATACAATCTAAGGAAAATACGGCTACACACAATGTAAGAAAGATTTAAACTCCAACGAGTCAGAAAAAATGATTTCGACAGACCACCTACAGAAAAATTACAGAAAAAAAATCACCTGCGAATTAAAATGAAATATACAGGGTGGTCCGAACTGTATTCCGGAAACTTCAACAAATATTCTGCAGATAAAAATATGTAAAAAAGTTCGTATAAATGTATGTCCTAAAATGCTTAGTTTCGTAGATACAGGGTGTAGAAGTTTCATTTTTATTTCGATTGTTTCCAAATAATTTCAGAAGTAACGTAAATATTTGGATGAAAATAGGTGTCTGGGAGTTTTTTGACATGAAAAATTTGATTTTCATGTCAATATGACTCCTACTTGCAGAGGGCGCCACCTACATATTTTTAACTGTTTTGAAGAGTAATAACTTTTCGTCCGTACCTGTATAAAACAACTGAGTAAAAAAATATGCATTTACAACGTTTTTTATGTAAAAAATGTCTCTAGTAAAAATCGCTACGAGTAATAGTTCTCGAGATATTTGGAATCAAAATTATCAAAACCTGTCATCTTTGTCATAAATTAAGCATGTTGACTAATAGTTATTAGGCTGAAATCATAAATTTGAAATGTTTTTGTGCTAGAAGTTCTTTATCGTCATTTTTTCTCAGAAAAATTTAAGATTAATTTAAAAAAAATTAAAAAGTTCCCAAATTTATCATTTCAGTCAAATATCTGTATACTCAACATGCTTATTTTTTGTCAATAATGACATGTATTGACTATTTCTATTCTAAATATCTTGAAAACGGTTGTTCGTAGCGACTTTTTCCAAGAGACATTTTTGACGTAAAAAATCACGGAATCATGTATATTTTTTCACTAAATAGTTTTATACAGGTACGGACGAAAAGTTATTATTCTCCAAAACAGTTAAAATACATGTAGGTGGCGCCCTCTACAAATAGGACTCATAATAACATCAAAATCAAATTTCTCATGCCAAAAAACTCCCAGACACCAATTTTCATCCAAATATTGATGTTACTTCAGAAATTATTTGGAAAAAATCGAAATAAAAATGAAACTTCACCACCCTGTATCTCCGAAACTAAGCATTTTAGGGCATACATTTACACGAACTTTCTTACATATTTTTATCTGCAGAATATGCTGCCGAAGTTTCCGGAATACAGTTCGGACCACCCTGTATACGCAACAGCCATTCTAATGGATCATCTCGCTAGACAGACTTCAAGAAGTGTGGAAATATCAAACTACAGAAATGCGGTGAAAAATAGGGCTAATTAGGTAAAAAGGAAATGAATATGCATAGCAAAATAAAACACTAAATCACCACAACACCAAAACACATTTAGTTTTACACTGGACGCGTGTTTCGCTAACCATGTTAGCATCATCAGCAGATGATTAAGACTACTTAATTTGTGATGACTTAGTGTTTTATTTTGCTGTGTAACACCAAAGGTTCCAACGCCCAACTGTAATCTGAATATGCATATACAGGGTGGTCCAAACTGTATTCCGGAAACTTCGGCAGCATATTCTGCAGATAAAAATAGGTAAAAAAGTTCGAATAAATGTAAGCCCTAAAATGATTTGTTTCGGAGATACAGGGTGTAGAAGTTTCATTTTTATTTCGATTTTTTTAAAAATAATTTCTG